AATAATATGTAAAGCAATACGACTGAATGAGTTTTTTGTTCCAAAAAAAAAACCTAAAAAAATAGCACTTACTAATTTTAGCAATTGTTTTTTTTTTAAGCGTCCATTGAAACTGAAAGCTTCAGAATAAAAATTACCGGTCAAGATTTTATTCAGACAAAAACAGCTCCACTGGCTGTTGAAGAAGACATCCGAGATCAACGGCAGCCCATAGTTGTAAAGCCACCATTAGGACGGGCAAGTGCAGTACTTCAACATTTAAGAGAAGACCCACGACCTCTTCCAGTGACGACTGTACGAGACACTCATTCTCCGACACCTCTGCGTGCTGAACGCCCGACATCATCGCCAAGTAAAGCAAAAGATTAGTTTATTTAAAATGTCAAATACTTATGGCACAGTTGTTATATTCTATAAATGCAGGTGTCGTATTCTTGGAGGTCAACGATGAAGTAAAACGTGCTATCTTACCACCAGTTGTCGATACTATAGATTCAGTAAAAGCTTTATTTTTACGAACCTTCCCACAGCTTACAGCCAAATACTTGAACTTGCCTTACGTAAAAATTTACATACAAGAGCAATCCAAGGGACAACTATTCTACGAACTTGACGATCTTCGGCAAGTTAAACTATATTATTTTTGCAAAAATGGGGTACTGTTATCAGCAGCATCAACTCTAGACATTTCAAAAATTTTTACTTTGCTATTTAAATAGAAATTTCAAACCAATAACTTTTAATAATCTTTAAACTTTTAGAGACTTGAAGGACCGAGCAGTACTGAAATTGCGGGAACAGTTATCAGGATTTCAGTCTCCCCAGCCAATTAGGTTTACCGATCATCCGCCAGATTATTTAAGCGAATCTGAAGGAGAGCTCTCAGATTATCGTAGCAGAACGCCACATAGAATTGGTAGCTTCAGACCTCCGAGCTCGCTCGATAAACGTCCGTATGGGTCATTAAAATCGGCAAGATCGCCAATACCATTAAGGTTTGACGCCTATTATGACCCTTATTCTAGCGATGCCAGTAGCCAAGAACCTCGATCAGGTTCTGCGACACCAATTATCGACAAAGAAGCCAGGTAATAGTAACCAAAAAACAAGCTTTTCAAAAGCACATTGCCTTTCCCAGCACTTTGTTAGCGTATATAAGAATCTCGCTGAGCAATGAGGATAATGTATTTTCTGCACTTAAAAAAACCACTTACTGTAACGTGCTTAAGTTTTACATCCCATAACAAAAACGTCCTTTGAAAAGTTTTTAAAACTTTAGAATTATCTGAAAGTAGAATGAACAACATATAGTACAACAAAACCCAATAACAGTTCGCTCGACCTCATTGTTGC